GCATCGCTTCTAGTAACAAGTGCCTTACTAGTAGTAACAAGAAGCTATTAGTTAATATAATTACACACATGTCACATGACAATCTCACTATCTTTCACCTCATCGCGGCTTGGCGAAGCCACCTCAACCTAGCAGAACTTGAGTGGCAAAAAGAAACCGTTTTGTTGAGGCAACCAATTTGTAGCAAATGTTGTAGCAAATGAAGGCAATACCCCTTTGTTCCTAGTAGCAAACCTTGTTACTAGTAGTAATGCCAGGAGCCCCGTTCGTAGCGTCCGATCGCTCCTAGTAGCTATGCCCTTTGCTCCGTTCGTAGCGAAGGCAATACATGCTGAACTCCGAACTTCCCCAGAATATCTTGATCGGACAAGCATGTTTGCGCCACAGGGGGCCAATCAACATGCTAGCCCCCAGCAGCACAGTCGCCGTGCCCCTCGAACAAAATGAAGCTTGTCGTCAGTTTATGCTGAGGCCCCTTGAACCTATCAACTGCAACCCGCCCTCATAAACAACAGCTTCAGCAGACCTGTTTTGGGGCGCACATTTTTTGTTGAAACTTGCACAAAGTGCAGGACTATTCCATGAGCAAACAGCTTTCCATGTTGCTTCCATGCAGACATGTTCAGACATCCCCAACATCTACAACTCTCTTTGAAAGCTCTCTCGCTATAAACCTCGCCCCAATCCTCAGTTCCTTTGCGATACCTTGCCTCAAGCTGTTCGGTGGCTGGGCCCAGTGGACGGGCATCCGTGGCTGCACGCCCAGCACATTTGGCCTTTGGAGCTCTTTCAGCTCGCTCCGCAGTAGAGGTGCGTACCTGGACCGTTTTGTTGCCGGGTCTCCCTCTTTTGGTGACTTGGATCTCCCTGGGCAAGGCCATCGCTAGTAGGTGGGAGGCCACCGATAGTAGGTTGGAGGCCATCACTAGGGTGGAGGTGACTTGGATCTACCTGGACATCTCCATAACGTTATGCCGTTACGCCATTCCCTTGCACAAAGTTTCCTTCCTTGCACATCTTGAGACCGTGCCTGTGTGTCGTGCACCAGCTCAGCGCTTGGGGCCACATCAGAGTCATTCGCTTCAGGCTGCTCAATCGGACCTGGAACCGAACAACAAAGGCTGCGGAATCGCCTCATGGCTTGATGTGTATTTTAGATGTGGTTTTTTAAAGGTGTTCTTTGAGGCCCCACTCTGCGCCTTCGTCTTCTAGCTGAGCACCGCTTGCACCTGCACTTGTGACCTCCTCATCTGCAGCCCCCTAGACAGGGCCAAGCAAAAAATGCGTGCAATAACAATTTGGCGCTTTCATCTTGAACTTCAACACATGGATAGGACAAGCCCTTCCTCTGGCAATGAATCGCGCCTGGCACGAGCCCAAAACTACAAAAGAAGGATGCACTACAGTGACTACAGTGGGTGTCTTGGAACACTCAACGAAGGATGGAAAGGGACAACATGGGGGGCAACCAACCATGGTCGACCTGGGGATGTGTCTCCGAGTGCTGGTAGGTCTGAACCACGGGAATGAGCATGAAAACGGCATGGAAGAGACCATTTTTTCTTCGTTATTGGAAAGCGAACACCAGCGGCAAAAGCAAAAGCTAGCAAAAGCATAGCATTCTTCATAAGAAATGCCTACAGAAAGGCGGCCGGTGTCACATCATTCCACTGCCAGGGGCCCCCACTGCTTCAATTCCAAGAGCTGTGCAATGGTCTCGTCTTGTGCTAAGCTTTCCACCTGATCTTCCAGCTCTCCAGTATTTGGTGAAACCGGCTCACACTACATAATTGCACATGTGTTGCAACATCGTGGGCCCCCTCTGGGCACTACCTGAGTATTCCACTGCCCGCCCTATGGTTCTTTCATGGAGCTCGGTCGTCTTGTGAATGGCCTGGCGTTTCAAAGTCTGTTACTAGAAGCGATGCACTGGTTTCTAATACCTTCTTGTTACTACTAGTAAGGCACTTGTTACTAGAAGCGATGCACTTGTTCCTAGTAGCTTCTTGTTACTACTAGTAAGGCACTTGTTACTAGAAGCGATGCACTTGTTCCTAGTAGCTTCTTGTTCCTGCACTTCACAGGATTGGCCTGCTCCTGAATGTGCTGCTCCCATTGGTCAAGTTTCGCCACATCGATGCCCCTCTCCTGAGACGAAAGAAGGGGCAACACAAGAGACCGGGGCCTGAATGCTTGCGAACAAAACCAACCTAGCACATTTGCTCCTACTAGCGATGGCCTCCATCCTAGCAGCGAATTGTTGGCCGGGTCTAGGTCTACGTCCTTGGCAAACTGTGTATTTGCAATGGTGGTCTTTGCATCCTGGCAAGACAAAGAACAATACGCCGCTCTCAGCAGACCTCGGGCCTCTTTGCCCAACTTTACAGCAGTAGCTAACAGTGAAACAAATTCACATGCAGAGAGTCGCAACAAATTTAAGGAGGAGCCTAATAGCTTCCAACCTAGAAGAGATGGCCTCCAACCTAAGAGCAATGGCCTCCAACCTAATAGCAATGGCCCAATTCCACACACCATCTGGCAGATAAAAGAGTTCTACCAAAGATTGGTCGGGGCATCACTACATACATATGTTATGACCCTGCGGCACCAACCTCCAGTCAAAAAGAATAGCACCCCACAACACATGCCAAAGTGAGGTTTAACCATCTCATGGAAACCATCGAGCAAACACAAACCCGCAAAGCCACAGCGCTCTACAACAAAACCTGTATAGAGGATTATAGAGGTAGAGGGACGGGACAAGTACCGCGTGCAATGTGCCGGCTTGCCACCTCCCGGGAGGGAACTATATAACATCTTCTGTCCACAAAGGTCTGACAAGGTTGCAAAATATCTCTACGAAAAAAGAAGCCAATAGCAATGGCCTCCAACCTACTAGCGATGGCCTCCAACCTAATAGCCATGGGCCATGGCCTCCAAAATGAGGTGTCAAGTGACCCCTTGCAACCCTTCCTCATGGGCGAGATTGGTTGGCCACATGGCTATCAGCTCAAGATTCTCTGCAGCAAAATGCAGGATCCCGACCCGATGCAGCTTCCATTGAGGCATGTCGGGCAAATAAAACGAGGAAACTCAATGGCTTGTTGCGTCTGAGCACGGCATTGCGGCATCAGATTGTCATCATTGGACAGTCATCCATCTTGGTAGCGGAACCCGGCCACATAGTAGAAACTGATCAGACACTTCCAGAGATTGAGATGGCCTTGAAGAATTGCTGCTTCCTCACTCCATCGCGAAAAGAACTGTGTCCTCAAAGGCGACTGGAAGCTTCACTGCCTTGCTGTTTATGGGCCGTGTATCGCGCTCTTCAGCTATGGCGGCAGCTTGGGAGCGGGATTTTACATGTTGGTGCAACTTGTGTTTGGACAATGCTATATGATGTTATATGCAAACCTCCGTGGCAATTTTGACCCAGCTGTGCTTTGTAGGGCGCTGCTCAGCCTGCCTTTGCTTTGCAGAGTTCGTGCCTCCCTCACTCATCTTGGATTCAATCTGCAAAGCATGCGCTCTTCGTGTTTTGGTGATTGCTGCTTCCACAAATGTTTCGTACAACGACCTGGCACGCACTAGCACACCCAGGATTTCACGCACTTGCGCGCAACACCTTTCTTCACCTTATCCGTCCTGGCCCTGAGGAACTTATAGTCGCGTCCAACCTGGGTCTACACTCAACCGGCGGGGCTGTCTTTCTCACAAGTATATAAATCTCCAAAACAACGGCAGGCCGCTGGACCGTGCAATCTTCGATCCCCGTTGGATCGTCCGCTAAGTCCGTTGAGCAGTGACAGCTCGTCAAAGCATAAATCATTCACCAACAACGCATCTGGTGCCAATCCTAATAATTCGGCATTTAACTCCCGGGGTGTTCCGCAACACCTTTGACACAACATTTGTGCGTTGCTTTCACTGGAAGGTCGGTTCGGACTTCCTCCTTGCTCGGCGACCGATTCTTTCGGCTTCGGCATCGACCGTCCGAAGAACCTGAACAACCGACATGATGGACTAGTGACTAGTGAGGAGCAAGGACGCTACTAGGGGCTCCTGGCATCGCTACTAGGAACAAGAAGCTACTAGGGGCTCCTGGCCTTACTACTAGGAGCAAGGACGCCACTTGGAACAAGAAGCTACTAGTTATTAGTTGGTGTCTGAAACACTGGGGTGCTCAACCGCAACACGACACATGAGCATAAGGACCACACTTGACCCCACAGGCCTTGTTGAATTGTTCAGTGAACTCGGCGAGGCCTTCCTTCAATCCCAGGTTTTCCACAAGATTTCCCCACATGGCGCCGTGACGCCCCCGCTGCCCGGTGATGTCCTTTCCCTAAGTGTCTTGTGAGTGACATGAGCGTTCTCCGTTATCGTTGCATGCTCCTGCATCGTTTGTCGGTCAATGTGCTTGTCGAAGCTGGGGTCAAGTGGACAAGATTCGGTTAGTCGAGTGAACTGTGGAGAGTTGCAAATTGAGCTGCGGGTTATGTTCATAGCTGCTTAAGCTTTTGAGAACCAGAATGATAACATATTGTCAACACATTGTCACATACTTCGTCGTCCTCCGCAAAACTCCTTCAGCTTACTTGACCAGTACTGCACACAATCCGTTACACTCCGACAAGCTGCCATAGCGTTTGCTTTCGCATCTGTTGCTCTTTTTTGACATCTTTGGCCAAGAGAATCACGAGAGGTCCATCTTTCACACTGGGGTGATGAAGTGGGACTTAAGTCCGGTTGGTTGCCACCTTGCCGTGCGCACAACAGAACAAACACCTCACAGAAACGTTGATGTGTATGGCACAGTGGAACACCACTTTGGAATGACATGACAAAGATTCTCAATTTGGCCTGCGAGTCCAAGGGCGCACACAGCGCGCAAAGAGTTCCGCAGAATATTCAGTGGCTGGCCATAGGTTGAAGACTTTTGCCTCGGCTAAGTACCATGTAGCCTAGTGCTTTGGGTTTCGGTTTCGCATACAAAACAAAAAAGTTGGAGGAAGTCTGTGAGACGGTATTTTTTGGACGCTGATCCTGCCTCGCAGGCTGGCTGTTTGTTGCCTTCACCTTCGATGAGTATTGATGTTCGATGCTCCGGGGGAGCTTCTTCAGAGATCTTGAAGAGATCAAGCCGGAACTCAAGCTGCAGTGACTGTGCCACAGTCATTGAAGCTTGCAGTTGCTGCAGCTCCCAAGAGATTGTGACAGAAGTGGAGTTTCTTGCAGTGATGGAGAGCATTCCCGGATTCTCCTCCAGCTTCGGTGACTTGATCTCAATTGGTGAAGTCTCTGGAGACCATTGCGAACGACGGCAACGTGACAAGAGCTGCACAGAGAAGACGCAGCTGGTGTCTTGCTTCAAATGGTCTTCCCCGACTTCCACGGTAAACTTCGCACTGGACACAGGACGCGGTGCCAAGAACTTCCAAGATCTCTCATCTCCTTGTTCGCCCTGTTCGCCTTGCACATCCCTGTAGCGAATCCTACAGAGAACCGCCTCACTGCCACCTTCGACCCGGAGCCGCACCCGCAGCCGTCCTGGCCCGGAAACACCCGGTGCGACGAGCTCTGCTGTGACTTTGGGCACGGCCACACGGGCCACGCAGACGTCGCTGCAAGGCCCCGGCGCTGCCGCAGCCTCACGACGCCAACGAAAACGTACCAGGTCAGAGGGCAGCTCACAGGCTGCGGCATAGTCGACTCCAAACAGCCGGATATGAATCATGCGGCAGCTTTGCCAGCCAAAGACCTGGAAAATGCTACCTACGAGACGCATCCATCTCTACGATTCTACCAGAAATGCTCTACAACATGCGAGGCTACAAGAAAAACACTTTGCCTGGTTGGCAAACCTAGCCATTCTACACGGCCCTGGCCAAAGCAAAAACCGAACAAGCAAACGGCCTGATGTACATTCTGCGTCTCCTCTCTCACTTCCAATTGCAGTGCTCCTGAAGGCCAAGAAAGCAGCACAGCACGCCCATGCCACCGCTGACTGCTAGATTCTAGCTCTTCGTCAGGGATCAGGACTTGCCTTAGATCAAGAGCAAAGGGCATCGCTACTAGGAGCAAGGACACTACTAGGGCACTACTAGTAACAACAAAGCTACTATGTTTTTTCTGTGTTTCTTTCCTTTGTTTGTTCTTTTTTGCCCGCTCCTCCCTCCTAGGAGCAAGAGGACCCTACTAGATGCAAAGGGTCGCTACTAGGAACAAAGGGTCTGAAGTTATCTGAAGCATTAGCCCAAGTCAAACGAGTTACAGTGGCAGCGGCAATGACCAATCAACAATGCAAGACCACTCCTCTGATAGACGGGATGGCCATTGAAAGTGTTTAGACCGTGCAACTTCTGTAAAACCCAGCGTCAACAAGCTTTCCCCTTCGCGCATGCCACCCAGAACAGGGAGTTGGGCACGTGCATAGAGAATGAACTGATACGCAGTGCCTGGATCAAATCCATTCACAGCAACTTCCAGCCTGTCCCGGAGAGAAGGCCCAGAAGGCCCTCGTGGGAGCTTGTCCGAGGGGCAACTTGTGCAACTGGTCATGGCAACAAGCCTTTCACGGCTTCTTTCGCAGCACTGTCCACCGGTTTGCGCACTGGATGACAAACTGGAAGTTTCACTAGTGGCAAGGCTGATGACAACTTCCAACGGCACAGCTCCCAGGCTGCAACAAAGCTGAGCCCAGTCGAGCTTTGCCTTGCAGTTCACGGGTGTTGTGGCTACAATTTCCCCGTCTTTGGACCAAATGTGAGGCAAAGAAGTCACCACAGCCGTCGAACGATTACCAAAGTCACCCCAGTCCGACCACAGCTGATCATCACCAATGCGCAAAGAGGCCACATATGCGAAATTGGCCTCAAAGGGTAAGGATAGGATTGGCAGCAGCACGGTCACGGGGCTCCTGCGATCCAAATAATGCAGTTCCGAAACGTCCATAGCTTCAGAGCAGAACCTCACCGGACGACTTGTCACTGCACTGCCACCAACTGGGTGGCCTTGGAATTTCACTTGGCAATGAGTTACCTTCTTCTCATCAAAAAGCTCCTGGGTCCACTCGCACAGTGGAACTTCAATGAAGAGTTCTGCATTCGACCATGTCAGTTTGGCCGTTACTTCTCCAGGAGCTTTGAAGCCTATGGTCATAGGAGCAGAGGCTTCGGACAGCCAGAGGCACTCTGGGAAAAAGACTCGGGCCACAGGATCCTCACATACCATCTGAGACAATCCAAAAGGAACAAAGAAAACATCGCAAATCAACATGAAATGGGCATGTTCTTTGCATTTCTGCCTTCAAGGCCATGCGGAGCTCCACTTGTTCAAAGTCCTGAAAGCCATCCAAATCTGAGGCCATCATCCATTCAGCCTGAAGCAAGCTCCGAGAGAGAGAGAGAGGTGTCTCAGAAGTTAAGATTGAACGATGTCATTTATAAGTTGAGTGTAATGCTCCTGTTGGTGATTGAACTCACTTGAAAAGTCATCACCCGCCTGAACCATCTCCGCCTCTGGCTCCTCACTGCTAGCCCAAGTCTGTCTATTTACTGTAATCTGTCCTTTCAACTGTGCTTGAGACTTGAAAAAAGGTTACACCCTAGCTGGCCCTACCTGTTCCATGAAAAAAGGACAGCTACTGGCGATATGTTAAAAACTTCAGCGGGTATGTCGCTTTGCCTGGGACAGGATGAGAGACCGTACAGCAGTCCATAGGCCGTTTACATGCCGCCACTGGAGTTCATAGACATAGAGATCCCCGGGGCCCTGTGCGAGAGAACAATCAAGAGCAATCCGGAAACAGCCAAGCCAGCATGTGCCTTCAGGGACATGCGCGGGTCTAGCAAGATCTGGGACTTCTGGAAAGATACATTCCTGGCAGATAGGAAGCTGGAAGAAAACCATCAAAAAGGGAGCGACAAATAGAAAAAGGCCACACAATGTGTCTTCCAATCTGCTTCCGATGTGATGGGTCAGAGCCGCCTCAGAGCATCTCCACGCTCCAGCCCACGCATTCGCCGTGGAGGCATCAAGGGTCGCAGCATGTCACTGTTCCAACTTCCTCTCAGGACTTGAAGGTGACCTCCACTCTATAAGAACGTTTTGCAAGGTCCAACACGTTGCGAGTTGCAGGTGGGTTTACTCAATTCACTCCTGTTCGGAAGGTTGTGGAGATCTGGGCTTTGTCGTCCCTTCCCCCATCCACATACACGGTTGCAGAGTACCTCCGTTGATGTATCGATACATCTCAAAGGTCTCAAGGGAAGAGATGGCACGGGGCACTCAGTGTTGGGCATCAATTGGTTCAGCAGCACTTCGCATTGCTGAAGTCCCAAATGAGTCGAAACTGTACATCGTCTTGCTTCAAAGAATTCCTGCAAAGTGTGCTTTCTTCGATAGCTCGAAACACTAGGAGCAAGGACGCTACTAGGGGCTCCTGGCCTTACTACTAGTAAGAAGAAGACTACGAACAATGTTTGCTATTAGAAACAATGAGAGAACAGGACCCCCGACACCTCGGTTGCTTCGGCGCCAGGGGACAGCTTCAAGTGATACCCAATCGGCTGACCTAGCAGGGAGCTTGCAGAAAGCTTTGTACTAAGCTGACTAAGCTCCGCGAACAAAGAAAGACCCCCACCATGTGAAGCAAAACCTTCCCAAGAGAGCTTCATGGTGGTGCCCTTGGCGGTCTCAGTCACAATGGCACCGAACCCAGGCCCATAGCCATCGGGGACGAAGACGGCAGAACCTGGAGAACCTCAAATACAAGTGAAGTCATAAACTTGATATGCTCTTATTCCAAAACACGAGTACAAACCTAATAGCGATGGCCTCCAAACTAATTAATAGCGATGTGTAGCTGAACAAAGTCATTGAATGGCTTGCCGAAAGCATCAGACATGGTGTTCTCGAGGCCACGTGCAAATACTTGCGAAATGGCGAAATGTCGCCGGTCTCTGATTCCACGCGCTTGGATTGCTTGGGTCTTCCAAGGGTTCGCATGCCTCTGCATTTTATCTTTTGCGCCCTCCCCACCCCCTTCCCACACCACAAAATCTGCATAGAATCCCCGATTTCCTGTCCACGAAACCTGCCTTGGGACATCCTGGAGCCGCACTTGTGCTGGACTGCCAAGTGACTCAAGTGACCCAAGTGGCGAACGATCGCAATGAGATGAGTTCTTTGCATTTTAAGGCTCGTCCTTTCATTTTAGACTTCAATTGCTATTAGGTTGGAGGCAATAGCTATTTTATAGGTTGGAGCCCATTGCTATTGGTTGGAGGCCATCTCTATTAGGTTCATTTGGTTGGAGGCCATGGTTTTCAGAATTCCGTTTGTCTTTCGCTTTTGAGACTTCTGCCACGGCACTCGCATGCAGGCTTTCTGGCCTGGGACCTGGTCGAGGCCGCGCAGTAACCGTTGAGCATGGAGACCACTGAGACCAAAAGCCACCATCACAACCCAGGCGTACGCAGAAGCTGCGACCTGTCGGGACGACAGAAGAGAAACAAAGAGAAACGGATGGAACGAAGGGACGGGAAGGGGAAAAAAAGAAAGAAAGGAAGAAAGAAAGAGGCCAAAAGAAGTAAAGTACAAACTCTTTCTACGTGCGCTATCAAGCGCTAGTGCACACTCTGGCAGAATATTGACCCATTTGGACGTGTGGCCCAAGACACACTGGTTCTGCAGACATTGCAAGGCCCTGGTGTTTCTTCGTGCTACTAGTAACAAGAAGCTACTAGGGGCTCCTGGCATCGCTACTAGGAGCAAGGACGCGACTAGGGGCTCCTGGCCGTACTACTAGGAACAAGGTTCGCTACTAGTAACAAGTGCATCGCTTCTAGTAACAAGTGCCTTACTAGTAGTAACAAGAACGCTACTAGGGGCTCCTGGCCATACTACTATGAACAAGGTTCGCTTTCTTGCTATGCTTTACTCCACCCCTCTCGGTGCCATGCCTGACACCTTCGTTGGTCCCAGGACAGCTTTGACTTCCTCCTCCCTGACACGTCAAGGAGTCTCTCTGAAAAAGCCACAATGTGATTTCCTGTGCCTTCCAAGCACCTTCGGGTCCAAATTGGCAAAGTGGCCACTGGGCTCCTTGGGGCCAAAAAGAGTATAGTATAGGTTGGAGGCCATCGCAAGTAGGTTGGAGGCCATTGCTGTTAGGTTGGAGAGCTAATTAGGTTGGAGGCCATTGCTTCTGGGTAGCGGGGCAAAGCGGCCTTTAAAAGAGGTTGAGAGAAATATGTATTTTTCATAGGGTTCCTTGCTCCTAGTAGCGATGCCAGGAGCCCCTAGTAGCTTCCCGTTCCTAGCAGTACGGCCAGGAGCCCCTAGAAGCGTGGGTGTGGTATAGCAGACTTTCGAACCATTTACGGCGCAGGATGGCCCAGGCCTGGCACCGGATCTGGTAACAATCGGCGGCCTCAAAAGAAGCAAAAATCGGCAGCCTCACTTCTTCGTTCTCGTTCCCTCACCTCCCTGTTCGCGAAACACAACTCAACGCCATTGCTTGGCTGCAGCTCTGCTGATGTAATGGTGGGCACCTGCACACTGTACATCATGAGAAAACAAGAGATGAACGGACTGCAACCTACTAGCAATGGCCTCCAACCTGCAAGTGTTGGAGGCCATTGCAAGGAAAAACAAATGAAAAAACAACAACGCGGCACCTCCAAACCGGTCGAAAGCCAAGCTATCTCTCCAGGTATCCCGTGTGAAGTCCAACGGACCCATGCATCAGCCTCTTTCCCAAGCCTCGAATTCAAAATAGGAGAGAAAGCACTGTTATTAAAGGCTATCTAACATGGCCTGGAATGGCCTCCAACCTAATAGCACGTGTTTGACATAGAAAACACTCCGCTACAACTTTGCCAGCATTACTTCCAAAGCTCCAACCTGTATTGGAGCTTTACAACGTCAAAGGATGCGATGCCATCCATCGTGGTGAAGGACAGCTTTTCCCACCGCTGGCCTTCGGACGACAATCCCTGCTCCCTTAGATCTGAGAATGCCCCGCCATTGCGATACAGTGGAATCACAGGGGAAAAAAGGGCGAGATCCGCACGGCAAACGTCGAGGCCAAGCAAGCTAAGCAAGTTTAAAGACTACTTAGGGAGTAAAGAAGCCTTTATTGTCAAGAATATGGAAGCAAGTTTGACCAGTTCAGAGGCCTGGAGCAGCCCACTCCAGCTCGACGTTCTTGTCCGGAAGAAGCACAGCACGCTTGGTGACCTTGATCTTACCAGAACACTTTCTGTGAGAACTTCAATCTCAAAATTTTGAACAAAGCAAGAATAGATTGCTCCTACAGAGAATTGTTCGAAGCTCTTACAACTTGGCCTGTACTATCCCAGCCCCTAGGCTCTTGCAAAACTTATGCCTTTTCTCACTTGGGGAAGCCGAAGTTGAGCTCCCGGACGTCTGGGTGGGGCAAGAGCTCGGGAGCGGAGAGCAGCGGCTCCAGGTCATGCCATGTGTGGAGGGTCTGGAAGCTCGTCATCAAGCCCTCTGACCAACCTCCGCCCCCAGCATATCGAGCTTCGACACGCACTGAATAAGTTTGACTGGGCCTGGGTTCTTCACGCGAGGCAAAAAGAAACAAACATGAGAATTGGACTGAATTGCATTTGATTTCTTCAGCGCGTGCATACAGCCTATATACTGGGGGGGCTCATCTACTAAACAGCAAACAACCTATGGGCCAATCTGAGGAACAAGCAAATCTGCTTCTTCTTAGCCAAGCTGGTAGGTTGGAGGCCGTTGCTAGTAGGGGGAGCGGGCAAATAAAAAAAAATATTTTCCTTTTCAGCCAAGCCTCTTCAAATCAGAAAGGGCCTGAACAAAGGCCTCTGCTCTACCAGCATCACCCTCCCACCAGCCTACCAATTCCCAGTCTTCACGTACACGATCATCGCATTTCAACAGCACCCGGTAGTCCAAAGAATAGCCCACTTCAGCCACAAATGCATGCCAAGTGAGACTCGCTTTACAAGGGTTGTGGTCATCCATGCAAACCTTCAAATCCTCTTCCTGCGGTCGTGGTGGCGAAATCTTCAGCTCTGTCGGCCCAGTGCTGTCGCTCCAATCACTCCAGGCACAACAGGACAGGCTCAAGTGCTGTCTGGTGGCCGAAGAATTAGGGAATTCGATGGAATTCCCCTTGTAGCGGAGAGATATTTCCACCGCACCACCCGTGGCGGGAGTCCAATCACCGATCAGTGGAGCGGAGCAGTAGCTACCCCACTCCAAAGCACTGGTCTTTTTGATGGGTCCCAGGGACCATGCGTTGGCATCTTCTGCATGGCACCAGCGCCAACGATATTGCCACAACAGGCTGCCCAAGCAAAGCAAGATCTTATTGCTTGCCTCTCTCACCGACCAATGAAGCACCAGTTTGTGAGATAGACCGTCACTGCCTGACCTCACCAGGCTACACATCACCACTGGCTTCTCAAGCCCTAACAGGATCGGCATCGACACTTGTCCCAGCCAGTTTGGAGGATCTTTTCTCACAGCCAAGCCCCACTTGACCCAATCCTTGGACTTGTAGAGGAGTCTGCACTGCTTCTGGCAAGCACCGCCAGGCTCCATTGGAACAACAACAGCTGCCAACAGAGCTGAGCAAACAGGTCCCCTCATGGAGTTCCTCCTGAAAGGTTTTAACGTTCTGCTCTTCAACCACAAAGCGGCACAAAAACTACATCGTATGTCACCGCAGTGCACATGCAAAATGGGGTTGAACCGGGTCCGGGTTTAATGAAAAGAATGTAACAACAAACGTATCTATCCCGGCACTTCCATGCCATTCCCAGGTTGTGTCCTCACAGGAACCGCCCAGCAAATGGCATTCACCCAACCATCGCTTTCAGACCGATCAGAGCAACCTGACGCACTTCGCTTGAGGCTGTTAAGAGCTTTCTCTCTTCCCTTGGCCTTGCGCAAACAATGGCACTGACTGAGCTAGGCCACGAAACAAGTCTGAAGACTTTAGATGCACTGAAAAGGACATGATTCACAAGCAAATTACATTTTTTACATGATTCACATTGCTTCATGTCACATTCCGCCTCACGAGGAGTCCGAGGGGTGCTTGCCTGGCTCGTCTTAGAAGATGAACGACCTACAGCGTTCGTCAGGTCAAGTGCATCAAAAGAGTTGAAGGTGGCCCGACTGGCAGCCGCAGCCTTGGGCTTCAGGTCACCTGAACAGGAATGATCATAAATCATAATCTTGAGAAGTGCAAGGCAGGCGGCAAGTTGACTTTTCGAATGAAGGGCCTTCTCGAACCTCCGTGAATTGCACATGGAAGGTTGACAACACTTCCTGATGGTCAACAAATCCGCGCGCAATTTGCAAATGGCTGAAGCCTACTCAACGCACAACTGCTACGCCAACCCTCCACCCTAAACCCTAGAATCCAACGTATAAAAGCAAAATTAAACGATATATACTATATGTACAATACGTAAATACATATATATGTTTTTTAAATATGTATATACCAAAGAATGGTGAATGCCAACATGTTTGACATCTCTCCTGAGCGGCGATGCCAAAGAACTCCAAAAGAACCACTTCTTTCCGGCAGTCCTGCGCAGGGATGCAGAAAGCCTAATAGCTTCTTGTTACTAATAGCTTCTTGTTTCTAATAGCTTCTTGTTACTAGTAGTAAGGCACTTGTTACTACTAGCGTGGCACTTGTTACTAGTAGCTTCCTACCCCCCCCCCCGGATTTGAAGTATCAAGAATTTCTCTCTTGGTTTGTTTGTCTCCTCTGGTGTTGCGGCCTTGGCCAAAAAGAAGCATCGGTGCAACACCGATGCTAACGACGAGGAGTGAAAACATCAACAAAAGAAACTGTTTTAACCTATCGAAAAGCAAACGTCTGTTCACCATAGGTGTCACATGATATTCAATACTATTTCTCAGCACTACCTACTAGGTATCCACTACATCATGTCAAGATCTCAGCATCACACTGGACGTGCCCGCCACGCTACCTCTAAGTCCTCCTCGCTGGGTTCGTATGCCTGGAAGCTTGGGTGAGGCCGAAGCTTTGACCTAGGGATGCAAAGGAAGAACGACATTCGAAGGAGCTGACATTGAGATGTGATGAGATTGAATGTACATGACTCCTGGAACGTACCAGAAACAACTTGTCGATCGCACTAAGCACGACTTCTTGCTGATGCTTTTGTTGTGTTCGCTTCTTTTCCTGGTCGCTGTTCTGAGCCGGTCGCCCTGATGGAAGATCTCTAGGCGTATGGCTTGGGCCTGCTGAACAGACCGACAAGGGATCACATAAGTCACCACAAACGGCCCGCTCACAATCAGGCATTGCTTTCTATGTCAGTTTTCCAGAGCAAGGAATGTCAAGGAACAAAGCACGCGTGAATGAAGTTTAGGCTTGCGGAAAGGTGCCCACAAATGATTCGTCCACTTCAACAAGTATTGATGGGTGGGTGCAGGCTAAACTTGATTCTTTGAGAGAACAGAGGCAATTCCAAGGTCATCGCTGCATCGCTGCCGAATGTTTCTTGCACATTGGAATTGTGCATCTGCAGTAGACACATGTATGGGCCCCTGACAGACTTGCAGCAAACAAAAAAGCTGCAACAAGCTGCCTAGACACACTGCTGCTGCTTCTGCTGCTTCTTCTTCTTCTTCTTCTTCTTCTGCTAGTGCTACTACACGTCCTCGTGCAACAATGAGTCTAAGGGGCCCTCCTCATGGCGCATTTGCGGCCGTTGCCCATCTCACTATCGTTTCTCTCTTTTCTGCTCCTACCAGTGTCCCCTGCTGGGCTACTAGGGTGAAGGCCATCGCTACTATTCTGATCCTACCATTGTCCCTTGCTGGTTTGCAGCTTGCGACACTCGCTCCACTTTTTTCCGGGGATGCGAAAGCTTCAAGCACAATCTTCTCACATTACAGCACGTCGAGCCATTTGACTCATGCATGCCTGTGTCATTCATGTGCTGTGGCTTTGTCAGCGCCGGAAAGCACTTGGAAACCGATCGCATGGCATCGGCAAACGAACTTGGTTTTGAAATGTAACTCCAACAAACTATAAACCATTTCGTAACCTACACCACCAACACAAAACTCTAAGTGTCTGTTTCACTGACCTTTTTCATGATTTTCACCAGCTGCTCTGGAGGTTGTGCTCCAGAGAAGCCGAGTGGAGACCGGTTTGGCCCAGTTCCTCGAACGATGAAGAAGGGCACACCTCCTTGGACAACTTCTTGACCGGCTCGTACGAGTTCTAGGACGGTCTCCTCACCGGATCCTGATTCCAAATACTCCAAGACCTCATCTTTTGGAAGACCAAGTTTCTTGCTGGCAAGATCTGCCAATACTTTTTCGTTTGACAAGTTCGCACCCTCTTCATAGAGAGCTTCGAACAAGGCAGCCTTAGCAGTTGAGGAAGCTATTCCTCGTTCGCCGGCCAAGTGAATCAAGCAATGTGCCTTGAGTGTGTTGGGCCACCACTGCCAATCCTTGAAAGGAGCACCCACTTTGCGTCCTTGCTCTCTCAGAGACCAAGTCCATCCATCGCTTCCCCAGCGTCTCTTGTTGTATGCTAGGTATTCTTCGCCTCCAGCTGCAGTTCCAGGATCGATGATGTATGGTAGCCATGACACCTCCACGCGTTCTTTTCCAAACTCTTCTGTAGCAGCGTTCAGATTTTTCATTCCAACATAACACCAGGGTCAGGCCAAGTCACTGAACACTGAAACCTGAATCTTCGGACCAGCTTGCTGTGGTTTCTGTGCTTCTGATCTGCCTTGCCCGCGCCTTGCAACTGCCACCGTTCGAGGAGGAAGAAACACGGTAGGCAAGAGCCCGAGGCACAGGACGACAGATCTTGCGGCCCACTGGCTCCGAACCATTCAGCGTCTTGTCCCTAGTAGTAAGAATGCTCCTAGTAGCGATGCCAGGAGCCACTAATAGCGTCCTTGTCCCTGGTAGAAATGCCCTTTGCCCCTGGCAGCAAGAATGCTACTAGTAGTAATGCCAGGAGTTCCCCCAGTAGCGTCCTTGCTCCTAGTAGTAAGGCCAGGAGCCCCTAGTAGCTTGTTGTTTGGAGCCCCCTACTCTGAGCCAGAAGCGCCAAACTCCTGTGGTTTTGCCAATGCAAAACGACCAAACCCGAGCACCTCCCAACTTGCACCACCGTCTGCACGAGGAGACCACGCCTTGGACCTCTTTGCCGGAAGCCACTGCCGGAAGCCTCCTCCCACATGACACGTTTCCACATGCTCGTCATGAACAAAGAACAAGCATTCCAACCCAGCCTGTTTGCATCAAAGCCTTGGACGTCAAGCTGGGATGTTCATGAAATTCATGTTGCAAACAGCAACAACCCCCCAATCGAAATCTGTGTGGAAGTACTCACAGGAACAATGATGCAATAATAACTCCTCAACAGTCCAACTCCTCAACCCAATTGACTTGTCAGCCGTGTTCTGCACGTGCGTCGTTCGGTCTCTGAGGTCTTAACTCTTTGAGCGCACGGTTTGGGCGTCTCGTGCTTTGCCCCTCGTAGGTGGTGCAGAGAGCTCCCGCTCACGGACGAGTTGTGGCAGCGAGGCCATGGGCGTTGCTGGGGTTGCTCCTGGATGGAGCGAAATGGGATTGAACGTGTTTTTAAAGCCCACTCAGTCAGTGTCACTCTGCCCCCCTGCTACTTGATCAAGCGGGCGCCTACTTCATGAAGTAAGGGCTATGTAAGCCACTAGCTGCTAGCTACTGGACACAGGATGGCTCACGCTTCTTCAACAAAGCTCCCCTGCCCCCAGAAGCCTGAGCCCTAATGATTTGGTCCTGTCATCCTGTGGATTTATATACCCGCTGTGGCAACTGCCATCTGCACTTATGCACTTATTTTCGGTGATGTTGCTTGTCACCTCCAGCTCCCCACAAGTGGAAAGGCTGTGAGGAGCGGGACGGACCGTTCGCAAGTTGGTACAGGAAACTTAAGTTTCTTCATGTTCCTTTTTGCTGTCTTTCCAACCTAATAGCAATGGCCTCCAACCTTCTTCATTCTTTTTGCCATGATCCGATGTTTCGCCGGGGCAAGCGTGCGGCGGGCATCTGGCCTTTGACCCACGTACCTGGACCTGGAATCCTTCTTCTAGTTCCCTTCTCTTTCATCTTTCTTCATGAAACAAGCCTCCACGTCTTTGCGTTACTTGCAACTAAAGGTTTCGGATTAGCCAGTCCAAGACCTAATCAAAGCACAACAGCCTGGAGAGTGTTCAAGAACATTGTCAAACATCTGACAAGGCTGCTTCTGAAGGGTGCTGGTTCGGCTTCATTGCACCGCAAGTTAGGAACAAAAAGCCTTGCTTCTGAATACTTGTGACTTGTATTTTAATTAACTCGGCTTCTTACTGTACTGCTGCTGGCCTGATGCTCCCGCGTGCCCCCACTAAAATCAATTAAGAAAACTCTTTGAATGTTCCTGGAGGCAATTAAGGGCAAAACCAAACGGTACGCACCAAAAAAAACGTGTTTGAAACAAATCCAGCTCTACCAAACAGTGTTGGCTTTAGGTTTTGCAATGTGATGCATCTTTGTCTGAAACCTTTCATTTCTTCTGTTAATTCTTTTGCTCTAAACTAAGGGCGTAGCAAGCCCAGCATTCTTCTCAAATTCGAAAAACCCTCAGGAGTTCGAGCTGTGCGTACCACATGGGTATGAACAAACCCTTGGACAGGTGGCTTCGTACATTCTTGTACAGAATTGGTTCCTTACAGGGCGGCATTCGTTGCCACAACAGAAGGTGCAAACATCGTCTTGCTTTCAAAGTCTTCTGTCTTTACACAAATATCCTCCATCTTTGACGCCTTCTCCTTCACATGGATCTCAACTCTATTAAGACTGCCTCTGTCCCCAGTTGATTCATTTGGAAGGCAAGCCCCTTTTATTGAACATGTCACCCTCGACGATATTTTAAGCGCCCTCCGTCACACACGGTTTCCACCCGTAGTACATATGAAGTCTCGCATGGGCTGGTCAACATCTTGCAGAGTCTTGATGCGTTGTGCACGTTCACCCAAGCTTTGTAAGAGCCCACGGCGTGTTGCAAGGGATTTGGGAAAGGAAATGTAGGAAAGGAAGAGCAAGAAGCTACTAGGAGCAAAGGGCATCGCTACTAGGAGCAAGGGCACTACGAACGGGGCTCCTGGCATTACTACTAGGAACAAGGACGCTACTAGTAACAAATGCATCGCTACTAGGCAAGTACATGGCTACTAGGAGCAAGGACGCTACTAGCTCCTGGCCTTACTAGGAACAAGAAGCTATTAGGAACAAGTGCATCGCTACTAGTAACAAGTGCCACGCTAGTAGTAACAAGTGCCTTACTACTAGTAACAAGAACGCTACTAGGAACATGTTGCAATAGATTTTGCTTGGCGAAACCCCAAAAATGGTCCTCGGCTCCATGGCAGCTGAAAGGCACTGGATTCAGAATGCTCTTTGTCTGGCACACCGTGACGAAACCAAACAGCCTTTATTGGATAATACAGAGGGTCAGCATTACATAGAAACTCTAGGGATGGTGAAGTCCAAGAAAAAAGTATACACTTGAGTGACGTGAAGCAGCGACGGCTACAAAATGACAAAAAATGTGCTGAGGATTTGCCACACTAGTAGTAACAAGAAGCTACTAGAAACAAGTGCCACGCTAGTAGTAACAAGTGCCTTACTAG